TTTTCCAAAATGTTAACTGCAGTGAAACGTTCTGATTTGGTTTGATTTGAACGTCATTCCCGGAGCCAAAGCTGCCGCCTGCCCAGCTGCAACAGTTCAGCAGCTGAGGAGAAGTGGCACATGTCAGCAGAGTTAATTTACCTCATCTACCCTGAACCTCCGACCTTAGTGGAAACACAACAAACCAGGGCTCAAAGAAACAGTAAAGGTTCAGGCTAATTAAGTTCCAGAAGAAAATGGTTCAGGGTAGATGAGTTGAAACAGTCTAGGCACTCACGTCATTAACTTTTCACTATCAGAACCTGTCCGAGGATTTATGAGTCTGAAGCTTTCTGTTTAATTAGTCGACATAATAATATATGACCACAGAAAACCACAGAAGCAGAAAAAGCTCAGCCACGAGTCGTGTTTTAGCACAGGGGACAATTTTCTATCAAAAGACACTCAGATGGACATTCTCCATGTCTTTATACGATTAGTCATTAGCAAACAGTGCCAAATGAGATGACCTTTCCTGAGTTCGAAGTTGCTCCACAATAGCCCGTCCCGAAGCCACCGTTGGGTTGCCTTTTTGTAACAGACCATGTTACGTCTTTGGGGAAGGTTAAAGTAAAAGGGCATTCATTTCCCTATAGATTGCATGGGGAATTGAGGTCTGCTCAATCAATACAAACCAAATCAGTGCTGGTCAATAGAAATCAAAAGAAAACGGTCAGTTCTCCAGCGACGGATACAAAAAAACCAGAGTGATGAACATCAGAAAACAAAGCAGTGACAGAGGCCTGGTGGTGCTCTGTCAAACATCTGTATTTTCTATTTCAGGCCTTTGTTTCCCCCAAAGTGAGTCACACTCAGGCTATGTGCCATTGTGGCATTTCTTCTCATGGCAGCAAAAGAAATATCTCTATTTGTGTCTTTTAGTCCCAGACCGAAGCAGAAATTTTACCATCTGTGGTTGGAAGGACGGGGTGCATGTGTGCAGATGTTTCTATGATATTAAGCCACTTGAGAAGGGTTTACAAAGTAGCAACAATAAGAGTGTATTTGGGTTTCTGTGGGACCTTAACTAAAACACACAGGTCATAAATGTGGGGATGCGGGTGCAATAGTGGGGAACCAATAGCCTTCCTGCATCTGGTTTTCATTCTAAAGAGGATGTGTGTTTTGAATTAAAATTGTCACTGATTCCTCTCTCTCTCTCTCTCTCTCTCTCTCTCTCTGCTTAAAAAAACTGTAGCTTCAGCACGGAATATGCGCATTAATTAAATACAACATTTTCCTCACCTTTCCGAGATAAAAATGGTATCAGTAATAAAATATGCATTGAGCTCTCACATGCTTTGAATCAATTCTCCAGTGAAAGTTTGGAGAAAATCAAAAAGCTCTCTGAGAGATGAATTATACAGCGAGTGACATCTCTCTCCACACAGACAGAGAGGCAGCGTGTTGTGATATCGCATTGTTTCCACCTTGCTGACTTTCTGACATCTTTGTGGGGTTCGGGGCAGACAGAGAGGGAGACCTCAGAAACCAGCGTCCCCAGTGAGGCGCATTCTGCTTCACGCTCCGCCGCCTCCTGCCACCGCCCGCTGTTATTATGCTGTCAGCACGTTTAATTCTGAGAATCTGCGAGGCACGTGCAGCAGCTAGCAAACAACAACGGCACGGACAGGGACGCACATACACTTGTCTAACTCGTGCAAATTAAGTGACAGTCCCGAGCTTGGAAATAGGAGGCAGGTGTGCACGATTGCAGTGCACTGAAATCATGAAGAGCAAAATCAAATCAATGCCGCTTTGTGGAAAAATAACAAAACAACAAGACATAAACCCAAAGGGAAGCACTTTAAAGATTAAAGACTCTGGCTGTGAACTTTAAAGGATCCACTGAGCCTCTCCTCTTCTGCAGCTTCAAGCTCAGTCTGGTCTACGAGAGGTTTTTGAGGGTCTGACCTCGTCTGGGAGCCAGGAGCTTAGGCTCTCCTTTCCAGGGGCAAGGGAGACTAATCTTTTCTCAGCGGCCAAAGAGAGCTTAAACCTGGAAAAAGAAGCTGAGGTCTTAACATGAACCCTTTGCTATACCTCTTCTTTTCCTCACTTGTGTTTGTGCTGAGGATTAACAGCGCAGAACACCGGAATCAGAATAAATTAAAACGTTTTTGTCAAAGGACTTTAATTTCTTAAGGAAAACGTTGACGGACGTAGCTCACAACAGCATTTTCACCATGCCTCATCAGTCCCACTTTATAATTAAAGACCTAAACGTCCTTGAAACAATACCTATCACCCACCCACCCCCCCATGCCACACTTTAAAAGTCTATTATTTTGTTGAGAAATGACAACGTTAACGCAGGTCAGTTAGTTGTGGAAGCCATCTTTAAAAAGTTCAACTCCAGCATTTGTAGACATCCATCCATTATCTTTTACCTGCTTCTTCCTTTTTGGGTCACGGGGGTCACCGGTACCCATGTCCATCACTGTGCGAGGAGTGGGGTACACCCTGAACAGGTCGCAAGTCTATCACAGGGACATGTAGAGACAAACAACCATTCACTCTCACTCACACCTAGAGACAATTTAGAGTTACCAATCAGCCTAACATGCATGTTTTTGGTCTGTGGGAGGAAACCAGAGTACCTGAAGAAAACCCATGCATGCACAGAGAGAACATGCAAACTCCACCCAGAAAGGCCCCCCAGACCGGGATTTGAACCAGGGACCTGCATGCTGAGAGGCAGCAGCTCTACCAGTGGCGCCACCGTGCTGCTTGTAGACATACAGCCAATCTTTATTTTCTGAGTGTCTCACTAAGGATTCGAGGACTCAAGGTTCTTTATTGTCATTCTCATCACATGTAGTACATGAGGTGGAACGAAATTGTGTACTCACGGTCCCAGTTACATCCAACAATAGCAAAAATATAAAGTGTAAAAAGAAACAGTAAATAAGGATCTAAGATATCGACTAAGATATATACTAAACGAAAGCCCAATGGTACGCTAAAACTGGAGTTCCCAAACTTTTCCATGCCCTGAACCCCAAACAGCATTGGCTTCTGGTCGAGGCCCCCCTTGCAAACCCACAAACAATGCTACAAAATATGTAAAGAAACATCAACTTTTAGATTGTTTTAACTTTTATTCACTATATTCAATTAATTTGTACAGCTGCTGAGCATAAAAATGTTATTAACTAAAATGTTTTAAACACTGTATTATATTCCCACTGAAAAACACAACTTTTCAACAAACTGTTGACCAGAAGAACAAAACTAAAGAAATCTAACCTCTTTCTCAAGCGTGTTTATCTGCACATGACAGATACAGATTGCCCCAGTGTGCAATTATTATTATTACTTTTTTTAATTTTTGCTTTTTTTATCTTCTTCTCTCCAGCTTTCTGAGGGCCCCTTAGTGCCCCCTGGTGGCCCCCAAAACACTGCGCTAAAATATCAAAGATACATGCTAGTCACTAGTACTGCAAAACAATACACCGAACACACCGAACAACTGCAGGATGATTCTCATAGGTTCTGTTTGGCTATGATTTACACGCTAACGCGAGCGAAGTCGGGCACGGAGCCGACCCCAAACTAACATAAACTGTGATTTATTCAAAGCATGCAACAAAAATACAGAAACAAGGCACTAAAAGTGAAAATGAAATAAATCTACAGCAGCATGGTCCTACTGGCAGAGTGGTTCTGATTAAAATCCATGCAGTAATAATGAGTTGTTTTGGTAACAGACAGACCTACAGGTCACTTGTAGGTAATCTGGTTGAAGGAGGACGTAATGGAAAACTCTTTTTGTCTGAATGTCAGTTTGACTTTGACAAATTATCAGAGGCTTGATGGATGCAACTCTGAGGCGGCAGCCACACAGCCATATATTGCAATTACACACCTGCACGCAAGGCAGTAGCTGATCCACGGCACAGCAAATGATCCGTGCACAGCTGAACGGCGCTGCTAAATGAATCGGAAAATAGTCCCACTTTACAGCGTAGATGGGAGCGATGGAGAGGCAGGGAGTGAGAAGGCGGCAGAAAGAGACGGACATACGAGAGAGATACGAGAGTTCATCGTCAAGACAGAACAGGATTAATATTTATCTGAAGATGCGTTTTCCATTGCGGTGTTTGTTAATCCCAGCATAATGCAGGATGCATATGAGTGTCGCCACATGTTAAAGGCTTTTTTTTAACCACTGGTAATAAATTTTATTTTCTTTACCCCAGCTGGATGGTAACAACCTGCGTTTTAAAATTTCCTCTACACTAAAACACCGGCTACAACCTGCGTTAGCTGTCTATTAAACGCCAAGCGAAGTGCTTTATGCTGAGGTTGCAGCCAAGAAAGAGATGATTTCTGAAGAGCAGCAGGCTCCGACTGGGGGGGTTGAAAAGAAAACAAAAGGAATGCAGGGTGGGGAGAGAGGGAGTGGGACAGAGAGACGAGATGGGGGTGGGTGAGTGATGTCTATGTTAAGCTGCTCTCAGCAGCAGCAAGGGTGCTATATTTTCCCTAATTTCACAACCTTTTAAGTGTAACGTGTTCTTCAGGAGCCGAGCGTGAATGGCACACTGGTGAAATTTTACACCATGGGAAAGATAGTCAGCTGTCGGCTCACTCTGAGCTCCCAGCTCAGAGTAAAGCTCTTCATCTTTCCCCCCCTCTCTCTTTTCATTCGACTTCTTATACAAAAAAGGTCTCGGTTTTCCTTTTGAGAAAACACATGAGGACAATACCTGCTATGTGAACAAGGACGTTCTGAAGCAGCAGTCTAATAAGTGCTCATTTCAGCCATTCATGACGTGACATGATGATTTATGCAGCCGCACGGCCTCCGTCAGACTCAGATTGAAACTATAATATATGTTGTCCTCACAAAAGGTCATTATTTAACGTCATTTAACTCCACATTTAAGTCAGCTGTGAAAGGTGCAGGAGTAAAATCTGTTCAACACACATCTATGCACACACACATGCTCACTCACCTAGACAATTGTGCCCATCGTGAGCCAAGCGGAAGCCATCATAGCATGTGCACCTGTAATTTCCTGGGATGTTCATACACTCATGGACACAACCACCATTGTAGTCATTTACACACTCGTCGATATCTGCAAAGAAAACACAAAGAACATGTAAGTGTGATGCATAATAAATATTAATCTGCAAACAGGAGGTTTTATTAGCATTTAAAATACTTACAGGATTAACACATAATCCTTTTAATAGTTGGCTTGCAAGGCAGCTGCATTAGTGCAAGATTCATAAAAATGTCTTTTTCAACATTTAGTTAGTTTGTAGCCAAATCACCTCAGGTTGTCATAAATGCTTTAACAAAGGGTGCTCACAAGTGTTTTTCTGATTATATAGCATCAAATATCAAAATTGATGATCATTATAACATTATTTAAATGGCACTCTGCAAATTCACAAAGGCTGGACAAAAAAAAGTAAAAAAATTCATAAATCTAATCTTATAAATTCTGGAGTAAACTCTTCCAAATGCACCATTTGATAAAACTCAAGATATATTTTTAATGTTTGATTCCATACTTCATAATGAGTACCTTTACATATCAGAATAGAATAAAACTCGTGTTGATGAGGATGATGTTTTTGTTCTTTTATTGGCAGTTTCATTTTTAAACCAACTTCCTTCACTCATTTTAAATTTATGACTGATTATAGTTCTATTTGCAGACAAACAACAGAAAGTTAAAAGCATCAAGAAGTCTTGTAGAAAAAAGACGAAACATTTTGACAAAGAAGAATTCGTCCTGAGGACCTGACTTAACCTTGCTAGATTTTTCGACCTGGATTATGGAGCATGAATCAGGATATTACAAATTAGTTGTTAAAAATAGCTTTTTAGGTGTTTTTTCCCTTTCTTAAAATATTGTGTTTGTGAAATTGAAGATGAAAACGGTGAATTATTTCAAAGCAGAGGACAAACTGCTCACATGATTGATCACCCCTCAACACTTGTTCCAGAGAAATATGGTCTAGACTATTTTAAAGGACAGCTTAGTGAAAACGCAAACACAATTTCAAAACCCTCTTTTTTTCATTTTGCCATATATGGACCAGGTATGTGGTTTTGTTTCCCAATATCTTTAAAGTTGTTACTTCAGCACCTGCAAAAGCTCAGTGGCAGTACCATGTTCTAGTAATCTTGAAGTTGCGGGTTCGAGCCCAGATTGTGTCAGATAGGGCATCTGGCGTAAAACAAATTGCCAAATTCAAGTTCACTCGCTGTGGCAACCGGTGAAGAAGGGAGCGGCTGAAATAAACTTTTTTTAAAGTTGTTACTTCTAATTAGCAACAGCCAAACTGACTCTGGTTGTGTGTTGACACCTTGTGATGAGAAAGCAACTTGGCTTTTTTTGTATCAAATCTGGAAATCCATTGTACTTTTCTGTGTCAACAACACAACAAATGTTTGATTTTGGTTTTTTTTAAGAACTAAACAGAATATGAGCAAAGTTTGTGGTTCGTGCAGCCCTCTGCTAAGACTGCTACGTAGATACTTTTCCTTTTCCAGTTCCCTACAAAGACTTCTAAAATGATTCAGAGAATAAAAATGCCTGGAGGTTACATCCATCCAATTTATCTTGTACATGTAAGAATATAAAACAAAACTTCAACCTGTTTTTATCAGAAGCCCAGCAGACAAAAACAAGTGTGGCTACACACAGGTCACAGATCATAACAGAGTTAAAGAAAGAAGGAAGGACACGTTCATAAAAATACTGAACAACATATGACAATACTCCACAATGACTGACTGACTGACTGACTGACTGACTGACTGACTGACTGACTGACTGACATAGATAGATAGATAGATAGATAGATAGATAGATAGATAGATAGATAGATAGATAGATAGATAGATAGATAGATAGATAGATAGATAGATAGATAGATAGATAGATAGATAGATAGATAGATAGATAGATAGATAGATAGATAGATAGATAGATAGATAGATAGAT